AAGTAGCTACTGAACCTAACATTTGCTTCTAATCATTTAAATATGATGGAATGACATGCTTGGATCACTGGTACAATTCAGGTTAGAGTTAAATGATTCTATAGTTTGGGATCAAATGTTTTATCCATCAAAATTCTCGAACTAAAACAGGCAACAGTTTTTAATATATAAATAATGCATTTTATTTATCAGAAAATTTCTTTACAGTAAAACAAGGAGATTTGTTCCTCAATTCTAAAACTATTTGCTCATCAGTCTTACACATAAAAACATGAGTTACGGTACATCCCCTTCTTAATCCACATAATGTAATATTTTCCCACCATATATTAAACTGTTTAAATATTTTTTACTCTAGTGTGAAGGTTTCAACTAGATTTACGATTATACTTATATATAAATTATAACCAATGTTCCAAAAGAGCTCTAATGGAGAGGTTTCATCTTTTGAAAACAGATATGTTCTTACACAACTTGCGTTAAAAATATAATGGATCTTTGAGAGTTTATTCAATAGACATGAGGGGCTAAATTTTATAAACTTATAAACAGCCCACCACAATCCATTCACAAACAATTAAATTCAAATAAAAACATGAATTAAATTACGGCTGCAGTTGTATTTTACATTGCTTCCTCTAATGCTTTGCATTTTACTCTATAATGTAAGCATATTAGTTATGATGGAGCTGTTTGACTATGGAACCCCATTGCATGAACCGTTGATATTAGTTTAGCAAGCAGCGCCTAATCCACTGCAGCATCAGTTTTGCCTGCTGTAAAATGTCAAGTGGCATTTGAATTTGTGGCTGTGTTGCAGTTGTTCAAAAAATCTTCCACTTCTGCAGTGCATGTGCAATAATAAAAAAAAGTCAACTACTGCCTAGCCTTTCCCTTTCCCTCTCTTTCCCTTACCTCTTTACTGTGCAGATATTTTATATCTAAAGGAAACATACTCTGGGACATTACAACTTTTCTTATGCTATTTTGTACTATATACCCTCTTTATAATTCCTGCTGTATTTCTATCTTTAGTGGCATCTTGCTTTAACTCTGTTCTTTGTTCTCCATATAAGCTACTGGAACCAGAATTTCTCTGAAAGAGTAATCCCAAGGGATAAATAAAGCTGAGTCTAAGTCTAAGTTATATTACCAATAACAATGAATGTATTTATTTATAGTGTTTAGTAATTAAGAAAATACATAATTGGGCATCATGGTGTCATCCTCTGAACTACCCATTCGTCCAACAAATATCTGTAGAATCAATCTGTACGATTCGATAAAAGCTAGACATAAAATTGATCAGAACTCCAAGATGAAATAATATTAAGGGATAGATTCTGAGTATTTGTCTGATTTATTAAAGATCAGGACATTAATGTCATATCCATGTATGTGCTGCTTTAAAGGCGAGTAAATTAACCTGTTATGTTTCAGGAGTATTATACCTGTTTTCACTCACTGATGACTAACTTATGATGCTGCAGTTTCCACTATGCTCTTTTTTCATCACTACAGATAGGATTAGTGTTATTTCAACCGAAGGTTCAGCTGTTCATGTATGATATTCTGCTCTAAGGCAGTAAAAACAAGAAAAAAGCCATAATATGCTAATAACATGTCACCTGAAACATGCATAGCTTAACTTGATATACTACACACATAGTTTAAGTCCTGCTCTAGCTGATAGTGCTTACAGGCTTATAATTACAATTAAGCTAACAATAGGTTGTCTATAAATACATACAGCAAACATGTAAACTGCCACAGTTAGTTCCCAAACTGTGTACCGTAATTAGGCTGGAATGCTGCATTTAAATGGTACCACTGAATTATTTTACACATATAATTTTTATAGAATACGCATTATTGTTTTAAATAATAAAACTGAATAAAAAAAGAAAATCAGCTCCATAACTTTTCTAATGAATTTTGTAAGTGTTTTAAAGTGCCTAGAATATTACCAAAGACTGACTGTATTTGGATTTATGAGATTAACCCACTAATCCATAAAATGGTTTACATGGAATAGAAATTGACTAAATTTGTAAATTTCTTTTATGAATACGGATATTAAAAAGTACAATTCTAAATAATAAAGTACAGTTCTATCCTGTGGGCATCTTTGGCATATCATATTTTTTCCTGATGCAAGCCTTTTCTTTATTCCTGGAAATGGTGGTTATATACGTCTTTGTCTGATATCTGTCATTTCAGTTTCAGTTGCTTATATATACACAGTATCTCCTTTGACAGCCTTTATTGGGAGCTTGTCCATCTCACACCTTCATCCAATTGTAGTTTAGAATGTCTACAAACTTTCCCTGCATCATTAGAGTTTGAAAAGGCATATTGTCTTTATCCAGGAATGCATTGTTTTTTTCATAGCCACCTCCTAGTGAATATGGCTTTTTAATGTGGATCAAACATCTGGTTTCTGGGTACTGTAAATCTAACTGAGGGGTTTAGAGCTTAAGCACTGACCACCAGTTCCTGGATGATTAGAGGTACGGATAATGCTGCTGAAGGGGTACGTTCATGCTGAAGGCTTGTGACCTTTCAGTGGTGGCAGCTTAGAGGAGGACGATTGGCATGAAAGATGTGTTTATACTACAAAGAAAAAAAATAAGACCTGCCTTGAAAAGTATCCTCCTCTGGCTTCCACCAAGGTCTGGAAATCTGGTGCACGGGTAACGTACACCTCCTCCCCTCTCTTTGCCAACACAAACAGCAATTACTGCTGGCTCAGACAAACCCTGAAAGAGGCAGGTTCTTGTCTGCAGGAAAAACAGCCAATTAGCTGCATTGTTCCAAAATAGCTGTAGAGGTCCTTTTTAATTTAAGTTCCCTGGTCGTGCTCTGCGGGATGGAAGCTCAACATGATCCGACTGCCATTGAGAGGAGCACTGTTAATTTAGTCTCACTGTAGGATCCTCTGACATCTGGCTCTGACACAGAAGCTGGAAAACAACTTTAATATTCTCATGACAGTCCCAGAGACATATGGAAAACATCCTGAGACTGACTGAAAACAGAAGGTCTGGCTTCAATGTATTTTGGGGTGAAAACAAGCAGTATACTTGTGGTGGCTTGTAAGATTTGCATAGAAAAAACATAATTCTTTTGTCTATTATATGAATGTTTTTAGTTGAAATACTGATTGCATTTAAGGATAATTATATTTTTCCTTTACTTGACAAGAAACAAACTGAAGCAAAGAATCAGCAGTGTGATTTTTCAGGCACTATTTAAAAACATTAGATTGGGTGTCAGCCAAAAAAAAACCCAACTAAAAATGTACTATTCCTCTTTGTGTGATTATAATTTACATATAAAGAGCAAAAAACATATCCACTCTTACTTGAAACAAAATTTTGGTAAACAAACATGTTTGTGATACAAAAGACTTTAGGTCCTACAGGACTTTTTATATCCTTTGAAATATCTGTTTTTTTTTTTTTTTTTTTTTTACATCAAACCACTTCTACATATTGGATAGGATTTTCAGTCATAGTAGTATATATATGATTGTGACGCATACATTAAAACAAGAGAAGTAGATATAAAATAATTTTGAAAAAGCAAAATTTGAAAATCTGGTTGAATATGTTTACCCATGGACTTTAAACTGAATGCCAAAATTAAAATCCAGAACAACCCACTGCCTCCATAGGGTCCACTTGTGTGGAGTTTAATCCCATATAAAAAAAAAGCTTGTTGATGAGGGCCTTGGTTTCCCTCATCATTTCATCATTTTTTGCCAACATACCAGCTCTAAATTTGGTATGGCTCAGGATTGGCTTATATGATTGGCTCAGGAACCAGGAAGTAATCAGAAGCCACACACTGATCCCAAGTACTGTAGTTCCATACAGCATCTCCAGCTTTGAAAAGAGCAAAACTTTACTAAATCATTGTTAATGGAGAGGACCTATTCTAGTGAATGTTACTTCCATCCCTGATAAAAGGTAAAAATGATTTGGTTTTACTGAAAATTTCTTACCTACAGTTTGTTAACAAAGCAGATGGAAGGTGCTATGGTCAAGGGAGATAAAAGTTTAAATTGTCACAACATTATCCTGATCCTACCCTTAGTTGAACATGGTGGTGATATAATCATGCTGTGGGGCTGGTTTTCTTCAGCAAAAAAGGGGAGCTGATGGTTTGATGGATTGAGATTAAAAAAGGATAATTCTGGAAAAGAAATTATGCAAAAATGTGTTCAGGATTACATGTTAACATCAAAGACTGTTCAAAATTTCAATTAGGAGACCAGATAAAGAACAAATTGAAGATTACAACCCCATACCTTATTTCTTACACATTTTTTCACCATCTTTGATTTTATTTTCACTTCCCAATTATGCATCTCTTTATGCTTGTATATTACATAACAATTAGACCAAATGCAGTGCAGTATTTCTAATTATTTAAGTAATTATTCTTATGGCTGTACTGTAACAATTTTTTAAGGTATAAATTCTTTTTTAAATAACTTTACCTTAACAGGAACATTATAAAATGCAACAGTTATTGGTTTTCTTGAAGTTTTCATTCACAGAGAAGTGTCACATTGACAAGTCTGGAGATCAGGAGGGTTTAAGAAGAAATAACATTCTCCCTGCTGTGGCAAGAAGAGAATCCCTGTGGTTAAGGGCAGAATCGACTTGTAAAAACATGAAAAATCAGGAGGATCAGTAACACATAAAATGCTCTGTTCAGTATTTATAATATTCCTCTCTTAGGAAAAAAAAATCATAATTATGCGGTGCTGGCATAGGGGATGACTAAGCCATAATGTGGGGACTTTTCTTTGCCCTCTCATCTTCAGCATTGCAGCCCACAGTTCTCTGAAATAGCTGTAAAACATGACCACAGGCTTGGCAAGGTGCAGGGCAGCAGACAGAACAATCAAATAGAACAAGGTTGTTCCTGGATTTAATATGATGTGGAGTTTTCTTGGACGTGCTGAATGTCCCTGTTGTCTGTCCTTGCAGATGGGAGTCTCAGTGGTGGATTCAGCAGTGGCAGGCCTTGGTGGATGCCCCTATGCACAGGGTTCATCTGGCAATGTTTCAACAGAGGATGTTCTTTACATGCTCCATGGCATGGGCATTGAAACTGTAAGTTTCCTTTTACAGTTCACTTTGGCAGGACTGCCATATTTCTTGTCTCAGTAATCCCCCCAAAACCCAAACTCATACAACCTTTCAGACCATATTTACATGAACTGATTGCTCTGCAAATATGCTGCTCTGTAAAAGTTTATTTTTCTAATATCAATGGCTTTACACAACTTGCACGAGAAAGGCCCTGCACACCTGAATGCTCCAACTCTTTTACAATCCCTACCCCTGCTGGTGGAATATTTTTATTGCAGTTTAATTCTTTGGTAAAACTGACTGGGATTTATTTGCAAAATAACCTGTTTGTATTTACCTAAATTTGATCATGCCTTGAGTTTTAAAAAGTTTAAAACATATTTAATGAATGTGGCATCTGTTTCACAGGGAGTGAACCTTGACAGAGTCATAGAAGCTGGTGACTTTATATGCAACGCTTTAGATCGCAGAACAAACTCCAAGGTGGCTCAGGCAAGAAGCAGGACACTTTGAGGATGCCATACTAGCTAATGAGTTAAAACTGTTACTTTCTAAAGTTCTTTTTCTGAAATCCATCTATTTGGAATGGAGGTTTTCTTGCTTTTTAATCTAAAAAGATCACCAAGCACCCACTGTAAGTTTACTTTTTGAATTGAATCTGAATTTCTGAATTTAATTGAATACCTGGTCGTTTATTTATTCCTTATTTATCACAGTTCCGTAACCAGTGGGAAAGTGATTTAATTGAAGTAATACCTCATTACATCTAAAATATGTATTTCTTTCCTGAGTTGTTAATAAAAATACTATAATTTATAATATTTTTTTTCAACTTTTTCTGTTGTATTTATAAGGTAGATACACACAGAATGGCTGTATGCACTTATTGGGCCTTTATAATTGGAAAATAAAAAGAATTTTCAGATAGCAGGCACCCTGAACAGGTAGCAATCCCCACCTAGGATGACAAAGACTAATTAAAAAAACAAATAAAAAAATTTCAACTTTGTTTAACTGCAGGAGAAAGCCAGTTTCAAGAGAACTACTAAATGCACCATAAAAACTTCTTACAAGGCAACAGTGCTACCTGTTACTTGTGCCCAGAATTGTAATACTTTAGGTTCATATTGTCCAAAGATTGATAGGGGTGCCTTCTGTACATTTTAAACTGTCCTCTGGACCAATTTGTCATGACTCTGCACTTTTTGATTCTGTTTATTTTTGTTTTTTTTGTTTTGCATTTTCAGTTACACTTTGATTCATGTCTTTCTGTGTTTTCTTGTTTATTGGTTTCATTTCCATTTTGTGTTCTACTAGTTATTTATTTTATTTTATTTGGGTTCTTAGGTATTTCTTGTTTGCCCTCTGTTGCCCTCTTGTGTCTCTTTTTCCCTAGTTCCCTTGGAGATTCCTCTCTCCACACCTGCTCCCAATCTGCTGATTAACCTGCTCTCCCACCTCATGTTCAGTTACTGTTGCCTGGTTTCTTGTCATTTCCTGGCTCCCCAGGTGTGTTTTATTGGACGTCTCCTAGATTTTGGTTTTCTGTATTTGTTATTTTGGGATTTTTGCTGCAATCGCTTCATTTTTTGGACATTAAACCTACAACAGCTTATCTCTGCCTCCCTCATCAGTGCATTTGTGTCCTCCAAAACCTCCACTCAACCTGACACAACTGTCCTTTACATGTTAATAGTTTTGCAGCCTACACTAAAATAGATTCTTAACAGCCCTTTGCAGCATTACATGATTGCTGAGCAAAGCAATGAAATAACGAATGTGTAGTGTAGTGGGACATTTTTTGAACTGTGGGTCCAGTACCAGGGTTGAAAACCACTGCTTTCATCAACTAAGGACTGTCTGATGGAATTTATAAAAAAAAAAATTGTATAAAAATGTATTTTTGCTCTAAAACAGATAATAAATTCAGTATATATTGAAAATGTACATCTATTGCTCTAGTTAATGTTTTTATTTTACATACAATGGATGAACATTACTTTTTTGGCATACAAGTTAAATTTGGTAAAATTGCAATCAAATCTAACCATGATATGGTGGCAAAGAGCTGGCAGTTGTGGTGTTCAGTTGTATGCATAATGCTAACATTATTTTGAAAAGTTTTTTTTTTTTTTTTTTTTTTTTTTTTACAATTAATGGCAATAGTAAGTCATAGGTTAGAGTATTGTTTCTACAAGTAAAATCTTAAGAACCTGAATTTGGAATAAGAGCTCCTTAAATGTTGATGTATTCAACCTTTTTAAACCCTGGTTAAAATGGTTGCCATCGTGTTACTGATTAAAGTTGATTATTGCTTATTGTTGCCGTCATCCATACTCACTATTACTGTACTGTATTTTTAAAATAGTATTAAAAATATATATAAAAAAGTGGTTCTGAATTTTAATTCTTCTGTGTTTATGACAAAATACTAGGATGGATGAGTGCACTATTCTGACTTCTTTAAATACCACATGTATTTGAACTCTTCTGTCTTCAAGCCTGAAGGATAAAGTGCACGATAAAAAACATTTTTAAGTAAAAGATAAAAATGAAAACAGGAAAGAGAGTTTTTCTTTGCCAATCTTGGTATAAATTAGAGCACCTTTTCATCGCATCACACCTCAAACTTAACCTTCTTTGCATCCTTATATTTTATGGAACTAAACAACAATGGGTCTGTAATAATTGTAAGGTAAGTGATACATAGTTTTGAATTTTCTTTTTTTTTTTACCTTTATTTTTGAAACATTTACATGTACCAGTTTTACATAATGATATGGTCATTAACAGACTCTGACCAAAGTCAAATGTCTCTGTTACCTTATGTTTTAAAAAGACATCACAAAAAATACATGACCAAAAGACAAAGTTTTTAAATAGATACTATTCTCATATTCATTTTGAATATTTTTGATTCATAAATCACCCATATCACTGACTGTAGAGGAGCTGAGCAGCTCCTTTAGTCAGAGACTTAGACACCCTGTCTGTAAGAAGGAGCGCTACCGCAGGTCATTAATTCCTGCTGCCACCAGACTCTATAATAATGTACTATAACCACAATAACTCCTGTAAAAACCACTGTGCAGCTACATTATAGTTTTTTATTTATTGACTGTGCAATATCCTGTGCAATATGCTAAATGTGCAATATTTCTCCACCTGTATATAAGCCATCCGGATTGTACATATTTTTATTTCTTATTATTTTTTTTTTTTTTATATTTTTTTATTTCTTATTTTTATCTTGTTTTTCATTGTGTGCAATACATGTACACTTGCACCTTAATCCTATTTATCTTGATATACTGTATATACCTGGATATACTGTATATATATTGCTTATTCTTAATGCACCTTTTTCCTCCCTGTTTGCACCTTCTGTAACTTCTATGCCAATATGTGACAAGTGAATTTCTCCGCTGTGAGATCAATAAAGCTCATCTAATCTAATCTAATATTTCCCATGTTTAATTTTAGTTTTTTTTTTACAAAAACAAATATACATGAATACTTAACTATCAGACTGGGCGCTGTTCAATTCCTCATCTGAAAATGGATGCCATAACTACTGACATGGTCATTCATCAAAACCAACAGACCTCACAAGCAGAAGATTGAGGGAATTTTAACAGATTTTTAAAAAATCTTATTTTATCTGGTTAAAAAAATGTGTTAAAAAATATTAATGAGTTCGCTCATGAATGACATAATAACAGAACACCATGGATGCTATAAGGCACCAGGGGATGTATTGATAATCATAAACAGATATTCTAAAGCCAATTTAACTCCATGCTACATTAAAATCAGTTTGCAACTAAAGCAAATTCATTTAGATATGCTTATTTTTATTGAATATGCCCATATTTCTCAATAGTGGGACATCCATTCCTGTCGGCTCTCTAAATGCTTACTGTGTCTCTTTTTTAATGACCAGCCCCGGCAACTTCAGATTAAACAAAGAACATTTGATGTCACACTCTGATTTATTTCTTGTATAAGGTAAACTACCGGTATATTTATTTAATGAATTGAATTTCTAAGTAACAATGACACAGCACATCTACTTCTTATTTCTCAAAAAACACACACACAAGGAAACAGTCATGATCAGAATATATAACGAGAACAATGTTTAAGAACTGAAAAAACAGATTATTTTTTTTCACTTTGTTGTTGGGTCTCTGAAATTCATGTATTTGTTCTCAATAATCAATTAGATTGTGCCCAACCAGTTTCCCAGTCTTTGTGTTGTAAAAAAAAATTGTTGGATTTCCATCCCAACCATCACATCTAAATTTTCATGCTTTTAATGTTTCTTAACAAGGCAGAGGAGTTCATGAAAAATAGCTATCCATTGATTTTTTTCTGTAACGCTTTATCCCTGCTGGGGTCGTGAGGGTTGTTGCCTATCTCCAGCTGTCTACGAACAAGATGCGGGGTACACCCTGAGCAGGTCGCCAGTAAATTGCAGGGCAACACAGAGACAAACAGGACAAACAACCATGCACACTCACACCTAAGGAGAATTTGGAGAAGCCAATCAACCTTACAGTCATGTTTTTGGAGTGCGGGAAGATACCGGAGAGAACCCACACATGCACAGGGAGAACATGCAAACTGCATGCAGAAAGACCCCAGGCCAGGAATCAAACCCGGGAATCGAACCCAACTTTCTTGTTGCAAGGCAGCAGTGCTACCTACTGTTCTGCTAAGCAGCCCTAGAAAATAGCCAATACAAGAACAAACCTGTAAGAGGCTGAGAAATTCATCTTTGAGCAAGACGACAGAATTAAACACAGCAAATTGAGATCATTCTAATGATAAATTTAATTGTGCATCAATTGCAAAGTTGGCATGCACAGATCTTCTTTAGTCAGTCCTCTACAATACCTATAGGTGTCTGCTTTGCCTGAACAACAAAACAGCATGAAAAGCCAGTTCATCCAATCTACAGCGATCATCCGAGTCTTTTGGCCAGTAATTCTGACAATACCATAAACCATTTTCCTTCCTCTTCATAATTATGCATGACCTGCCTTGCTAAACATGGAACAATCCATAACATATATTGCAAATTTCATGTGAACATAAAAAAGTATGGAGGGTTTCAATACTTTTTAATGGCAAAAAAGGTAGAGAATGTATTCTGCAACATGACAAGCAGCTCACTCCAGATCAGGCGCGCTGGAAGCTGTTTCAAGCGAGGGGGGCTGATGGCAGGGTTGGAAAACACATGACGTCATTATGTTGAGGGCTGTGGCTGATGTTTTTAACATAATATTGTAGGCCTACATCTGTCGCCAAAAACTGCCATTTAAAATGCATCGGAACAAAGCATGAACATTTTAAACTTTATTTCTTCTCTTTTAATCATTCAAAACAAACAACAGCTCCCAATCAACAGGATCAGGAATACTTGAATGAAACATGGCCTAAATATCGCCTAAACTGAGCATTGAACGTCTTGAAAGTCCATTCGACTATGGATATGGGGAATGATTTCATATCTGAAACAAAAAACACACACAAAAAAAATAATTTCATATTTTATCACTAAATAGCTTAATACAGACATAAAATTTAGTGATATGCAGCCTTATTCTAGCGTAGACTTCTTTAGCTACAGGACTAAGACGAATAGGCACATAAATAACGTTAAATCTGGCAGTATAGGGGAATTAAAACCATTTCTTACCTCGAAATAGTCAGAAATACGTTTCTGCTGCCTATTGCTAGCCATGCCTAAACGAATGTGAGGTGGCGGAAGCTTCTGGGGGAGTAGCCTAGTTTTTTATGAAATATTAAAATAATGAATCATTAGTTTATATCTTATACACAGCCCATCATTTTAATCCCATATCAAACATAGTCTTTAAAAAAAAAATACATAAATAATTTCATGTTTTTAAGTACAATATTATGTTACTCCACAGCCCCCCACCATGGGGGGCTGATGCTATGACGAGGGAGGCTGCAGCCCCCGCAGCACCCCCCTTCCCGTGCCACTGCTCCAGATACAGTCTACTTAAAGTTGAAAGGATTCTGGTGAAAGATGCAGCACTCTACACCACTGGTTTTTAAACATTGTCTCAGCTGTCCTTTTTGTTTTATGTGTTTCCCTGCCTCCATACACCTGACTTAAATCAGTGGGTGATTAGCAGGCCTATGCAGCCCCTGGTGGCTGCTGAGAAGGGAATGCAATCATTTGATGCAGGTGTGCAGGAGCAGAGACAAATGTAAAACACACAAGACAGTGCATCCTTAGGGTAGAGTTTGAAAACCACTGCTCTACACATCCCCCAGCCAAAAACTACAAAGTGATGTAGATAGCTTCAAATAATATAAAGGCTTTTCTTATTCCAATACAACTTAAATGCTACATCAAATCAGACATTTTATATGCATAGAACATCCAAACTTTGTTCCATTAATCATCACAAAAGTACAAAACATAGGAGTGAATAACAGCTGTTTGATAAACTGAGCCATATTATATATCAAGATATACAGAAACAAAACACCATGGATATATATATAACATTATAAAACACAATGGTTTGCTTTTTTTGGATGATTAAGTTCCTTTTTATTCCTCCTTTTCAACCTAAAAGTCAAAATAATGAAAATTATTTTTTGTTGATGCAACATCAGAGAAACATCAGATTTTTTCCTTAATGACATAGAAAAATAGGACATACCAAATCTTACTGACAAAAACCAGAGAGGAAAATATGACTACTCCAGCAAGAAACAGAGCTGAAAAAAGATTCACAAGGAAACCTAAAAGAAAACAAACCTATATGAAAACTTCCTAATATTTAGTCTTCTAAATATTTTGTATGCAGAATTATTAAAGATGAGAGAATAGCTAAAAGGGACTTACCATATGACCACATATGAACTTGCTCAGACTCATTGATTTCGGGTGATTTCGAAGTACAATTGCTGCTTTCCTCTAATTTTACTGGAAAACAAAGAATATATATTAAAATTCCTCTAATTATCTGAAACTATTATTTGAATGGCTTCTAAGAAGTTAAAACCCTGCTTACTGAAGTGCAGTCTGTTATGAAATACTTCAAGAATCATGTTGCACATCTGAAGATGATCATTGTGGACTCCTTTGCATGTGCAAGGGTGGTGAAGCACTGTGCCCAGGGTAGCCAAGAAGGCTCTTTTACACTCAGAGTTTGCACCGAGGATAAGAGCTGGATCCTTTAGAGTGAAGCATTCATTTTCTTGGAGATTTCTTTCATTGCATAGTGTTTCATCGTGGTTCCAGCATTTAACTTGGAGAGTTTTTAAGAGGTTTCTGAGGAATCAGAGAGAAAAGAAAAGTCATACAGCTATTAAATGTTAGCAGTGATTCTACACTCTTAACTGTTATTCTGCTCCAAGAAATTAGTCAAGCTTAATTAAAAAACATTTTCTCTCCTTGAAGAACACAGAACATTGCTGCAGACTCATTCTTGTATCATTCACTTCTCCTTGAAGATTGAAATAATAACTTAAACTAAAAAAAAAGTTTAGTAATTCATTTTCTATACATGCTTTACCTTGGAGCTGCATGGTCACAGGTGGCTAGGGTCAATTCCACTTATTACCACGGAAGTTATCTTCAAAGCAGGAGCAATTTGTTATAGGCCTACACCGAGCGAAACTGCACAGTTTTTTGCATGTGTGCCTTCATTAAAATGCAGAACAAATTGTGACCATACCTCACAAATGTATGGGTGGATGATTTGCAAATGTAAATTCTTGCCACATGAAAAGCAATTTATAAATCATTAACGGATTGCGGGCTAAGTTTTTGTTTCTATTTTCTGTACTTTTGAAAGTCAGGGGAAACTTTTACATAAAACCTGCAGTCCTTGTGGCAATAAGGAGGCATTGGTACAATGATTGAGTGAGTAAGGTTAAGTGGCATCTCTTAATTACCTAGGTGTGAGACTGCCGGTGTGTGCATGGTTGTATGTCTCTGTGACCTGCGACAGACCTGCAACCTGTCATGGTGTACCCCACCTTCGCTCATAGACTGCTGGAGAAAGGCACCAGCCGCATCGCGACCCTGACAGATAATTGGGAAAATATGGGTGGATGGATATTTCTTGAGGCTAGAGATCGACATTTGAAAGAAAGAAATACTATCACAGATCTAAAACTATTTTTATTGTTAAATATGGATCTACTTCAATATGTCATCAAATATGTAAAAAGTGCTTTGCTTGAATCTGAATCACGAAATAAAATTAACATCTTGGTTAACCAGATGAAATGTCTGGCTCCCCTGCTATGTATGTCAACATCAAAAAAGAAAAATACATGATTGTAAAGTGAGAATATTCTCATCAGTGCAGAAAGTTAACTGCATAGCATAAGCTTTGATTTAGTAATATTATCAGGCAATGTCTACACTTTATATTGTTACTCTTAGTTCTGACAGCCAGGCAATAAAAAGTATCAAGATCTAATTCAGACCACAAAAATTCAAAGCATGCAAAAAATAGACGGACAGATAAAATAAGGAAGATCTTTGTTAGAAGCATGATGAAGTATTGTCTTAAAATTTTAACAATTTACCTAACAACAGTAAATGAATGTCTTACTTAATTGAGATATTACTATATTACACCACCAATTATACCAATGTTGCAGGTAAATAAAAAATCCATATATATGTATATATATATATATATATATATATATATATATATATATATATATATATATATATATATATATATATATATATATATATGTATGTATATATATGTATATATATATAGATATATATGTATGTATATATATGTATGGATGGATTTTAAATTTACCCACAAATTGACAACATCAAAGCAGTACAGTACAAAGCAGAATACAATCATCTGACTTAATGGAAGCATTAAAGCTCAGGTTGCCTCTAGTGATCTGACCAAAAAAGCTGAACATTTTGATGTCATGTCACTGCCATATACTTGTGAAAAGAGGACTAAACAGCAACGTGAAAAGGGGACATGCATGTGTGCTACTCAAGCACTGTGAGAAGCTGAACAGAAAGTGCCCACTTTCCTCCAGAATTGCACAAAGGAGCTAATAATCCTCTTCTCCTGTTACAGATAGCCGGTTGTCAAATCAACCACTACACTTTATCTCCCTGATTTTCTTCTTCAAACAATCATGACTGTCACTTCCTAGTTTGAAATATTGCTATTAAAAGCCCATTTTCCTTTCAGATTTAAAGATATGAAAGAAATCCTGAAAGAGATAAAAACCAAAATGGCATCTTTAAAAGGTTTTTAACAATAATAGTCATCTTGGCTTTCTGAAAAGACAAACAGGGATCTCTGATTGGTTTTATCATTTTCACAGTCAAAGGGATATCTAAGAGAGATGCTATGTATCACAGTAGTTAACCTCTCCTTTTCATGTGTACTCCCTCACTTATTTGAGAGCCTTTTACCGGCCTGTCAGCCTGAGTGAACGAACCTATTGTCTTCAGACACTGAAACCAAAAGTTTCCCTTAGATTTCTTCCTGATCGTGGTTGACTGGCTTCCTTTTAAATCTCTTCTACTTTAATCTCTGCTGCCAGATCTTCATTACCTTACTGCTGGCCTCCTTAGTTGGTAATGAGTGGATCCACAAAATCCTGCTGAAAGATCTATTAGGTCTTGACAGGTAATTGCCAATATCAGATTGAGTTTTTCCCACTAGCTTTAGTCCATGCATAAATGTTTCAGTTTATCAATATTATTATAGACACTTTTTACTGTAGAACTGAGAACAGCCTACCTGCACTTACTGTCCTGAGCACACTGAGTGAGCCTTTCTTGGCAGATTCTTGTCTCTGCTCCACATGCCCCACTCTGGAGACCGGTTTTCATGAGCAGACAACTCTGATCTGAATCATCACATTCGCACATCACCAGCATCTCTGCACACTGTAGGGGCATGCCTCCATAGAACTGCTGAATTTCCTGCCGACATCTTCCACTGTCGCACCGATCAGTCATGCATGCCTGAAGAACAGGTGTGAGGTGCCTGTTGCAGACAGACTCACTCACACAAAGACCAATTCGGTCCACACAGGATCCAGAACGATCATATGCTGCAAGAAAAAAATTATGTGCAATTAATGTACAGCAAGGGAAATAAGTGATGGATGTGAAATTATATTTCCAGAAGACTGACATATCTGATGTCAATATCAAATTGACACCAGATCTCTGTACTCATCCAAGTATACAAAAAACACCAACCGAAATCAGCCCATGCTTCATATGACATAAAAGGACAAATGTATTTCTAAATATTGAGCTTTGAATGGAATGGAAATGCATTATTGATTATAAAGACCACCTGCAGAGTACTTTATAAAGTCCTAGAAATAGCAGGAAATGTTGTCAGCCAAAATTATGAGCAATGCAATCAACAACACTGACTTTTATCATTTTTCACAGTATAAGACTCCACAGATGGGAAAAAAAAAGCTAGTTGACTGTAGTTTACTATAGAATATATAGACAAAGTTCAGAGTGGACATAATTAAACTCAACTGATGTCAATAAAGATAGGATTAGAGGGAAATATAGTAAATTACCTGAAAAACAGTATATGAACATAAAGCTTGGGGTGGGGACATGATGTATAGTATAAAGCCCCAGCATACTTTGTATAGTTAAGGAAAGGAAAAACAAAAAAAATGAACTGGGGAATTATTTAGAATCTTAAGAATTTAAAATAATAAAATAAAGATACTTATACATGTTGAACAATCCTATCTTCTAATCACAAATGAGAAGTATTGTCACTATCCAAACAAATGTTTGATAAATATCAGCAGTATCAAAAATTGACCATTTTTCTTTAGGTGCCAAATATTCAGACAACTATTGTTAAGTTCATATCGCTGAGCCTGAAAGATATAAATCCACTGCAAATTTCCACTAATTTATTAAGTTAAAATCAAATGAATAATTTTCACCGTTGTCCACTAAAGTACTTGATTTCCAGTCAATCACTGGGATCCTCCTCTGCTGATTTCCTGTTTAAAAAAAGAACAAAGGATTGGTTTGCAATCAACACTTAAATCTTGCCCTTTTAGATGAATTCAACAATAAATCAACCCGTTTTTATATACATTGCTCAAAAAATAAAGGGAACATCTAAACAACACAAAATAACTACAATTAAATTAAACTTCTGTGAAATCAAACTGTCCACTTAGGAAGCAACACTGATTGTCAATACATTTCATAGGCTGTTGTGCAAGTGGAATAGACAACATTTGGATATTATTGGCAATTAGCAAGTCACACTAAATAAAGGAAAGGTTCCGCAGGTGGAAACTAGCCTGATAAACCAGACTAAATGTGAGATTAAATGTGTAATTTAGTCTTGTGCCAATGAATGAGACATTGGAAGATTGTTGATGAGAACAACCCGTTGTCTTTCAAACCATGTCTGTGCCTATTGGCCAACGCTCTGACCATTGAGCGCAACTGACTGTGACATAGTAAGCGCGACAGAAAGCTGGTGGGGGAGTGTAAACAAACAGCCTGTTGGTAAAACAGTGAATGTGTCTTTCTTAAAAATTAATGAGCATAGAGCCTTTCCTGCTCACGTTTCAACGAAAACCCTTCCAAAACTGATCCCAAAGCGGAGTCTGTTCAATAGTTGTTGCCATCTTCCTTGTTGTGCTTTCTCCAGCGTCGGGCAGCTTTGCGTCCCGCCCTCAAAAACCTGCCCGTTATGCATCCAAAAATTGAAAACACATCTCTGCTTTGTGATTGGCCTGGCAGTTCTAGGGCCTGGGGCATTGATCTAGACTAGACCAAACTCGCAGGCAAAGATGTTTCTGGCTGCTGGCGGGTGGGGCTAGTTTACTAGGCTAGGTGGGAACCACAGACAACTTCTCAGTACCTATGTTTTCTCGATATTTTGGGTCACTTTTCAATGCTGGTGGTGCTTTCCCACTAGTGGTAGCATGAGACGGACTCTACAACCCACAGAAGGTAGTGCAGCTCATCCAGGATGACACATCAATGCGAGCTGTGGCAAGAAGGTTTGCTGTGTCAGTCAACGTAGTGTCCAGAGGCTGGACACTCTACCAGGACACAGGCCAATACACCAGGAGACATGGAGGAGGTCGTAGGAAGGCAACAACCAAACAGCACGACTGCTACCTTCGCCTTTGTGAAAGGACGAAGAGGAGGAGCACTGCCAGATCCCTGAAAAATGACCTCCAGCAGGCCACAAATGTGCATGTGGATGGCATTAGGAGCCAAAGGTCCAGAGATGGGGGTTTTGCTCAAGCTCATGTCTCGATCCATCCACTATTGTCACCAAAGACTATCCAGGAGTTGGCGAAAGCTTTAGTCCATGTCTAAGAGGAGATCCCTAAGGAGACCATTCCCCACTCATCAGGAGCATTCCCAGGTGTTGTAGAGAGGTCATACAGGCACATAGAGGCCATACACAATACTGAGCCAGACTTTTGACCTGTTGTAAGGACACTAGATCAAAGTTGAATCAGCCTGTAGTGTGTTCTTCCACTTTAATTGCGTGTGTGTGACTCTAAATCCACGCCTCCATCAATAATAAATTTGAATTGCATTGATCATTTTTGTTAAATTTTGCTGTCAACACATTCAGCTTTGTACAGAACAAAGTATTCAAAGAACATATCTCATTCAATCTAGGATGTATTATTTGAGCGTTCCCTTTATTTTCTTAACAGTGTATTTAAACAGCCTTCGTAAACAAAACCATAATTTCAGACAATATTTAACCAAAGTACTAATGAGAACTCAGCACCTGGCTTTTGGAGGCATTGTGTGGCCAGTTCTTGTATGGAGTCACAGAGCTCCACCTCCCATGTACACACACACCCTTGCAGTGATGGAAATTGGTCCAGTACAGTCTGGATGGTCAAGTTACAGCCCCCTGAGCCCTTTATTTGGCACCTGTCACCTTGAATATCACAAACAGCAGAGTAAAGCAGATAAACAGGGTTTTCATAAGCTGGTGCAACAGGTGTTTTTACCTCATCTTCCAGCTGCTTTACACTTGTGCAAGTTTTAGGGGTTTATCATACCGTTTAAATGGATCTTTATAAGGATCTAACATTATTCAGAACTAATGTCAACTAGAAAAAAGCTAAAGGAGATCTTTTATTTCCTGTAAACATTACATCATATTTAGAAACTAGAAACTATGGTTGAAAGTTGAAACTATAACAAATCGTAAGATTATTGAGATAAACATGCATCCAGTAGTGTTATAATAAAAAAATGAAAAAATAAAACAGCTGTAACGCTGATATTAAAATTTTCAACTCTATATACCACAAAAAGACCTGAATTTTATATAAACCTAGAGTATTTTTACCACCAAAGATCAAGTGTTAAATGAAGGCATATTTTGGAATTTACAACTATGCAAACAAAAAATATTCTACCCACGTCTCCTATTTAAAGCCACAGTCAGTACATTTTAGTCAGATCTTAAACTTATAGCTGATAGGTTTTAAGAAAGTCTATTTTTATAAAGAAGAAAGTCAGCATGGCAGACATGCTGCAATATACCTTCCTGCAAAGACGCAAAATGAGAGTAGCCATAAGTATATTGAATTACGAGATTCAGAGACCATACTTTTAAGCTGATTAAACGTCTTACAGCATCTTTTTTTGCTAGTAAAAGCAAAACACTCTGAACTAATCAAATAAATTGTAATTAAAGTTTAATAATTTAATAAAAGTCTTTAATAAAGTTTATGTTATAAAAACTGCTTTTCCTAAACAGTCTCTTATTCTATTCTTTGGCGCTTATATATCTTATGTTTCTGTGTATCTGTATTGTTAATTTCCTGGTCACTTTACTACTTCAACAATAACTTTGCTAATCTTATTTTGATTATCTATTAAAAATTACTGGCTACAACAACATCAGGTTTTTGATTCTTAAAATTCAAATTCATTGTCTTAACCTTAAGATTAAAAGTACAGTGTATGATTCACAGCTGCTGAACATGTTTGCTGTGCAAATATAGCTGCAAACCCATTACTACTTTTATTTTGAAAATAATTTTTACCCTCACAGTTGCCAGCAATATATGCCCGCTCACAGCTGCATAAATCTGACATGCAGGTCTCGACTGAAGCCAAACATCCAGAAGCTTGAGTGGAAATCCTTACACTCTGTATCTGAAGTAAAACAATTCCTGCAATACACATTGCATCAAACATTTTAGTTTTAGTTTCAATAAGGAGTCTAATAATAGATTTATCAAAAACTTAATGCTGGTTTAGTAAACAAGTTGTACTGTTATTAATAGACATATTTGTTCACATATAAATATATATTTTCATATAATATAATACAAACCAAAGTTCATTTTTCAAAAATTTCCAAATATCTTGTTGAAATGTACTCACCTAAAACAACTGCAAACTCAGGATGCATCAGCTGCATGTTGGCTGCTCTGAAGGCAAATGATTCCTCCACCTGATCCCTCCCTATCTGCAGGGTGGCAGCTTAAACAGTGATTCACCACCCAGAGTCAACAGGATGTAACACAAATATTATTATGTGGATTCTACAGTATTGGGAGCTTTGAGGATGATCAGTTTATGACTTGGTGCTTTACTACATGCACATTTTTTACACTTTGCTTCTTTCTCATCTTCTAACTTTCACTCTCAAGACTTTTGGCACCTTGCAAGGACATTTTCCCAGTTATTTTTTTTATTTTAGTTATCCTTTGGGTACTTTTAATAGTTTATATTTCTCTATAATCTTCAGAATCAATGATTCTGTCAGTATTTTATCTTTTTTTTTTAAAGCTGTCTCTGTGTTGTTTCTGCTAATCTCATTTTATTCATTACATCAATCGGTTTGATGTAATGAAGCCATAAAAATGTAATTGCCCATGAAAACTACTTATACTACTCAAACCTTTTTACATTTTGCTAGATTGAAAAACAAAATAGTTATTCGAATCTTCTAAAAGGCTTGTTCTGACATCTATTTATTGTCTCAAGACCAGAGTCCATGCCTCCTCTGAAGGAAATGCACTATATGCTCCCATCAACATATTTAACAATGGAGAACCCATCTTTCTGTCACAGACTGGTGACAGAAAACTTAGTGTTTTATGTCTTTGAAACAACTAAGCTCCCCTTTCCAGGTTTTATCTATCCGTTAAGGAAACTGTAAATGGGAAGTGACCATGATTCTTTCCATAATGGCTTTTTTGCTGAGAACTTCTTTGTGGATGCCAAATCTGAAATGTGCAAAACTTACATTCCTTCTGTAGACTGAGTCATCTATCGGAGTTCCAGATCTCCACTGATTCTGCAGTAAAATGTGATGGAGCGCCGCTAAACGTCCATCCCTTGTTTTTGTTTTCTCGCTTCACTGTAAATATTGTCACTGTTTCACTGTTTCCACCTGGGGAGCAATAAAAGAAAAGCACAAACGATATTTTTCGGCTGGGCCATCATTTTGTTTTTATTTTTTGGAACGAAAAAAACAACATAAAATGAGCCTCTAATCTGGTTCTCTACATGCCTAATCTGTCACTTTAATTGGATTGCTAAATCTTTATAGGTTGGTAATTGTGCAATACTCTTTCCGATCTTTGATGATGGATTAAGCAGTGCTTCATGATGAGATGTCTAAAGCTTGGATTCTTTACCGGTGTTCCCTATTGAACATCTCAGACCTTTACAGAATGGCTGTATTATTGCTGAAAATATAGTAAAAAATGTATTCTGAAGCTTGTTCTTAGCTTTGGGTAAAATATCTTTATGATTGTTACATAAAAACATGAAGAAAACATAGAGACATGAGTATTTTCTTACATTTGAAATTTAAATCTCTATAAACATAAAGGTCTATGTTGTAGTTTGTGGGGTTAATTGCAGCCAGGACAAATGATCTTACATTGTACTGATTAAATGAGAATCTAAGAATGTACTGATCAAATGTTAATGTATTCACCATAAAGCACAGAAAAACAATGACATCTAAGACACACATCAAATTCTGCAGCTGGTACCATGCAGTGGCCATGCTGTGCAAGCAAACAGAATGATTATGAAGGATTCTGCAAAAACACGAGTCATTGATTGAAAGAACATTCTAATTACAACGTAAATCACCTTAATGAAACTACCAGTAAGGTGCAGTTTATGGGCTGCATCAATGTGTGATTTTCTGTCTGGTTACTCTGAAAGTTTCTTAAGTTTTCTTATTTTATTATCTTATTCCGTTAAAACAATTAACTGTAGTTAGAATATTATGGTTATAAAGTTGTATGCATTTACTATAATTTCAACTCCCGCATTTCGGTTGTTAGTTTGGTCATTCTCTCTGCCTATAATGATTTTTTTATTTATTTCTATTTTTGTCCACTAGGACATCTACTGATACTTTTCTTTGCCAGATCACCCTTGTAAAAAAAACTGAAACACTATTGTTTGACATATATTCTACAGGATCAGCTGGAACAATAGAAAGACAAAATGAGAGTCAACCCTAAACTGATTTGACAGGAATATTACACACTGAAAAATTTTTTATTGTCCAAGCACATTACATTTAAGATCCTCACAATGTTAGACTTCCATGAAAAATAGATAAAAAGTCATAAAGCAAATTAACAATCACTTCAGCGCTGTATAAATCACACACAATAGGAGAAAATGAAAAACACAACACAACTTTTTAGATTTATTACAAAACTGCACTTGCAGGAATGAGGCAGGAAAGTTGTGACTTAAAGAAATCAAGCTAAAATATTAAAACACCTCACATTAATGTCAAAATTTAAAACAGTGATGAAAATCCAGACAGTTTTCAACACGATCATTAAAATCTTCATAAAAAAAATAAAAAATTCACAGCTTTAACATTGCAAAATCAAAAACCACAATAAATATACATATATAAAAAGCTAATAAAATTTCAATCATCTTCACAGTTGATTTTTATCAAAGAAAACCTCAAAGGCTTTAATACGCTGATGGGAAACACCTTTCAATAAACAGAAATCATGCAAGACCTCTGAAGAAGCTAATTTTCCTCTTTGTTTTCTTTGATTACATGACTTGATTTGGTTTTTCTTTCAGTATAATTCCCTATTGTAGAGAAATTAATTTCCCATTTTTTTACTTTTTTGTTTCACAGATGCAGTGATTGCTTTACAAAACAACGTTGATTATGCAATACTTGATTTAATTTCTATTCAGGTTGTTTTCTTAAATTATTTTGTCAAGTTTTTGTTAAACAAGTTGTATTTGAATACATCATTCATCAGTTTTTTATTTTTATTTTTTTAAACTTATTATTTCCAGACAAATATCTTCTTATGCCTGGTAATTATACAAAGACAGGTTTCAAGTAGGTGGTAGAATTGTTGTCCTTAAAACACAATGCTATACCCAGTCTGTGGAATGTCTATTATTATTTTTGAAATCTAGGATTTTACTTACTGCCATACTCTCCGGCCTTTTCAGATCCTTTTGACAATTAGCAGTTTTCCTCAAGGCTTTCTTTTTGTTTCAACCTAGATTTAATGTTTACTCAGATTTTCTCTATGTTTTTATTCCTCGTTTTTGCTTCAGTTCTTTAAAAAAAAAAAAACTATTTCCTTACCTATCATTTGGAAACCGACCCTTCCAAGCTCAACTGCAGTATTTTGAGTTGGAATGATTGGAAGATGGAATGGTGTTTTCATGATTATTTCCAATATTAGTTTGCTATCATATTTTACATGTATGCCTAAAAATGAAAGCCTGACCAAAACACTTCAGTTGACTGGTTGTAGATGACAGGCGAAGGATTTTTTCCTTTAGTAATGGCTTTCAAACCTAATCTTGCATTAAGCATTTACACATTCATGCAGTATCGATAACTTGTTTTCTGAGGGCCTTTGTATTGATAATGCTTGTGATGACTTTACAGATATCCCCTTATTTAAGCGAGAATAAATTGGACACATGTAGACACGACATAGAATAAAGTGATTTTTAAAGGGACAGTGTGTAACATTTTTATTTTTCAATTGCAAAAATCAGGTATTTATTTAATAAATACATATTCTGCAAAAATGACACCGACCCCACAGCAACCCTGACGGAATAAGCGGGAGAACATAGATTGATACAAAAGTTTAATAGCAGCCACAAAAATGAAATTGGTCTCATTACAGAATGACTAGTTCATAAACACATAGGGCGTGTGGGAGATTTGATGTGGTGTTGCTAATTCTGATCAGGGTAGCCGTAAAAGGGGAATAATTCGTCAGCATTACAGGTTTGACCTGTATCTGAAAACATATCATTGATGAGTTTAAATCAAGCAAAAACAACCATAGATCATTCTACCTTCCACTTTCTGTTGCAGTGGACGATTACCCGTTCTCTTTTTTCAGCAAATAATAAGAAAGGTAAACAAGTCTAAATTAGAGCAGTTTTTCCAGGCTGGAGACAATTTAAGATTGAGTGGGAAATTAAAATGGATGCAGAGGTTGCAGACTGGATGGGTAAGGTAATGTAATATAACAGAGACATTTTTTCTAAAATTATGTAAAAAAAAAAAAAAAAAAAAGGACAGGGCAGTCCTGCAGCAAGTCTATGCACCCAGTGGAGACGGCTCGTTTAATTGTTTTGGTGCACTGAATGAGCTCAGATGCTACAGTTATCAGTTGCTATTTTTCACATAAGTCATACCAGCTAAAGAGTGTTTGCTTTTTTCATTCTTGTTTTTTATTGAAATTTTCCACGTGTTTCATAATTTATGATGAAGATTGATGTGTTACATCAATTCAGATAGAGTACAATGTCCATAGTTAGTCTAATATGCTTTATGGGGAGGCAGAAGCTTATCATTTGTAATTAATTAGGGCACCACGAGATGGAGGTAAATTATACTCGCTGTCTCTTTAAGGAAATTAGTTGTACTGGATGTTATTCAAGAGTAAAAAGATCATGGGGGCAGAAAACAGCTGCATGTCACAACTTACAATGTTTAATTGTACTGTGAGTTTGTCTAAAACTTAAATTTCCAATAAAATAAATTGAGCTTTGTGGTATCAAAGGGATCAAGTGTAAAAGTTCAATGGGTGTAAATACTTAAAATTAAATACTCATGCAACAAAGTATTTCTGTCTTGTATTCTCTTATTCATTTGAAAAAATGTTTCTTTGTTTAGCAGCAAAAAATGTACTATCTGCAGGTCACTTTCGTATGGTCACTCATTATGTCAGTAAAACTCCACCAACATAACTTAAATCATTGAAATTAGATTTTCCATAATATAGTTTAGAGCAGTTTAAAAGGCGCACTTTAGTGGTATTAGTAAACACATAGCATGTGGAAGTTAAATTTTTCACTCCCACTTATACTGCTGATCTTTTACCCTGACACCATTTCTCAAATTCATTTTGATCTTACTACTTATAAATGGTTTTACGGGTAAAATTCATAAAGATTCCCTGAGCAACAAGAGACTTATACTTTTCAGAAGCAACTTCTCCACCACTGTAGAAACAGATAAATACATTAATTGCTGTAAACAAATATATATCTGTACAGCGAAAATGGTTTTAACACACAAAGAGAAGAGAACTCTTCTTTTTATACTAAAATACATAAACATTGAATGACTTCTGTATGATTTATGGCAGATAGATTTTTTTTCAAGGAAAATGATTTTATCACAAACTTTGAGAAGGTTCATAACATCTGATTTTTTTTTTTTTGTGTGTGCAAAATCTCATCTTTTGTAGCAGCAAGTCCTTTAGAAAAAAAATACAAGTTTGCACATTCCATATGGTGAGTGTTAATGAACCCCGTTTCCTTGCAGGGATGGGATAAAAGTTCTCTGACCGTAGAGGACTACACAATCTGATCCGATAACCGTGACAAGTTGTCCACATTAACTTGAGTTGACATGGATTTTCGGCTATCTCTATTTGCTCTGGTCCTTATCCTCATATTGTCGTCCTGCTGTTGCCCACAACAAGTGCAAGAAAATGCAGATTTAAACTCCTCACGGAACTTCCCTGGAAAAAAAGAAAAAAATATTTTTATGTTTTCTTCTTTAGATCATGAAATTACATCAATGGGAAAACTATAATATCCACACAGTATGTATGTAGCTCATTGAGAGTGATACTTTTAGATAGGATCCTGTGAAACTATTGCTAGGTTGGTATTTAGTAGCTGCATCCTCCAAAGGCCAGATTCGTTGTCTGATTACATCACAGCGCAGCGCCATGGCCTGTACGATTGGAAGACTTCTCGTTATGCGGACAAATGCAGCTTTTTTCTTGCCCATTTTGAGGGATAGGTCAGTGTATCCTACGTAGCCTTGGATATCCCGTGATTCATTGTGAGTCCAAGCAAGCGGGCTACTCCATGTTCAGAGTAAAAAGGCAAATGGCGGTAAACAGTGGTGCATATTGTAGGTGCAGTTTAATATAATGCAAGTATGTGAATAGTTCAATCTGAAATTAATGAAAATAGTTGTTTTAAATGGATATTGAGTCAGATATGTGGCGGGTAATGTTTGGTTTATTGAAAGGTTTTTATCTGTCCCAGTGCAAATGGGTTTAGCTGACATTAAAGCACATTTTCCAATATCTCTGCAGTGAGGGAACTACAATCTGATGTCTGTGACAAAAGTACTGCTGCTCAAGCTCCTCAACCATAATTAGCACACACAACAGTAGTAAGAAGTTTGGCATCCATATCCCAGCTTGTGTGTCGACTATCATGGTTGCTAGGTAACCGAGCGTACGCTGAGTGAAGGGTGATAAAAGCCGGATAAAGCTGGACCTTGTTGAATCCATAGCTAAACTCTTCCGGCCAACCTTATTTTCATGGACCTTAGCCACTGAAATCTAAAACACCCTATCTCTCCTCATATGTCACTTAAATAGGTTAATAATGTGTAAAAAAATATATATATATGTACAAATACAGCCATTCTCCTGGATTTGTTTCTGTTTAAGATGTGGAGTCTCATTCAGCAGGTTTAATCTACAAAACCAAAACATAAGCTTTTAAACATCAGACTGGCCAATAATTAATTGATCATCAGAAAAGGTAAAGAGTATGATACAATTGTTAACCAGTCAAGATATTGTCATTGACCTAAACTGGAAAGCCAGATAATGACTGCATTGATTGAAGACCACAATTGGAACTTGAAGAAGCAATAGAGACCCAACATCTTATGAGGGAAACCATTTCAACTCATTAAAGAGCTTTAAAGAAAATACATGCTCTGGGTTGTTTTTACACTGAAAGAGGTCTCTAAAACAAAGCTTAATATTTATGCAAGCCTTTTTATATTTCTGTACTAAAAGAGCATAAAAGAGCAATCCCATAGTTAATTGAAATTATTACTGCCACATATCAAGTGTGAAAGCCACAATCTACAGGCTGGCCTCACCTTGACTACTCAACCCTGATGACATTTTTTTTTTTTTGTTTAAACACAGGTCTAATCTATAGAAACTTACATTTCTTAAAGCCATAGTGATTTATTTTTGGCAACATAATCAATAGTATTCTGGTTGCAAAAAAAAAGTGATGCCCAGGACAGAATTAATAGAAGAACTGCCACTATGTTGGCTGTTAAGATATCATGTTAAAATGGTTTGAGCTAAATAGAAGAAAAACAGCAATAAGCTACAAAAGAATTGAATCATTTTGTGCTACAAATAATCATCACATCTATGTTAGAATGTATACTGTAGATATAGCTATATGTACGGATACACTGCACATAGCACACACACATAAACAACACAGTATAACTTCTATCTAATCAAGCTTCTGTAAAATCAAACTGGCCACCTATGAAGCAACACTGATTGACAATCAGTTTCACAGGTGGAAATTATTGGCAATTAGCAGGACAGAAAATAGGTAAAAGAGAAAAAAAGAATGGTTCTGTGGGTTGGAACCACAGGCCACTTCTCAGTACTATGCTTTCTGGCTGATATTTTCTGACACTTTGAAAGTTGCTGGTGCTTTCACACTTCTGGTAGCCACACAAGTGGCTGAGGTAGTGCAGTTCATTCAGGTGACAAGAAGGTTTGCTGTTTCTATCAGTGTAGTGTCCAGAGGCTGAAGGCGCTACCAGGAGAAAGGTCAGTACACCAGGGGACATGGGAGGCCTTAGGAGGGCAACAACCCGGGAGCAGAACTGTTACATCCACCTTTGTGCAAGAAGGAACACGAGAAACACTGCCAGATGCCTGGAGTTTTTTTGTTTTTTATTTAAGTTAGACTTTTTTTTTGTGATTTTTATTTTAAATTTTTTTTGTCAGCAAAACCAAGTATTCAATAAGAGTATTTCATTCAGATATAGGATGTGTTATTGAGTGTTCCCTCTATTTTTGAGCAGTGTATAATGTCAAATATTACTTAGCAATATTTGTTTTTAAGAATATGTGATTATTGTAACAGATCTTAATTCTTATTGAGCTGGAGCTATTTTGTAAAACAGATTTGGCAAAAAATATTGATCTCTAAATGTGCAAAGATGATGTGAACATAAAGACAGAAACAACACAAAGAATAGATAACTTTATAAATCATTTAGGAGGCGCTCTATATATATATATAGCTTTTGCTGATAATGTGAACAAATCTGTGAACAAATGTTTAATGGTTTTGTCACTCTAACTTTATATCCCACTCAATATTTTATGTATGTTTCTACATTCCTAATAGATAAAAGCCATGTTGGTACAGGGGATATGGCATTCAACTTAATGAGAAAATAAAGATGATTAAATACAGCATTAAGTACAATTGTGCTTACTCTGTAAATATTAGTATTATTGATATTAAACACTAGAGGGCAGTATCAAACCTGCTCTTTCGTGAATGCATTGTAAGAGATATGGGAGACTAAAAAACTTACCACTCAGAAAATTGTAGATGATGGGATTTGCTGCACTGTTGGCGTATATTAACCAGTGTGAAAAAGTAAACCATGCATATATTGTTTCTCTGTCACTTGTGTTCTTAAAGGTCCCAAAAACCCTGGAGGTAAAGAAGTAAGGATTAAAATATGCATAGTAAATATTTTTGCATGCATTAAATTGTAAAAAAGGCCATCTTTCTTGTATTCAAACAACTGCATCAGAAACACAAATTAGACAAGAAATTTACATAACAGCAATGGAGATGGATAACATCCCTTTACTTTGGTTCACTCCTCAGTTACGCAGGCTTTTGATGCTGTAAATTAAAGAGCTGGAGAGATTATTACCTTTTCATGATATTGAGGACGCTGATCGGTAAGTAGCAGAGAGCAAACACAAAGAGCACTACCATCAGCATGCGAGCTGTTTTGCGTCTGGCTCTGATTTGTTTGATCTCAGCGGAAACTGTGCTTGTCCTCACCCTTGCAGATTCTTCAGATCCTGAACCCGGAGTCGAGCATCTAAATGTTCTCCAGTTTCTCTGTACCACTGATGTGTTTCCAGGAATCTGTTTATGAAATATTAGACTTTTAACTACTAATATGAATACATACACATATATATGATTTGAATCACATCTTGACATTGTGACATTAGCACATCAACCTCAGTTGTTAACGAGATTTCATCCTGTCAGAGAAGTCTGTGCTGCTGCCTGCCTGAGACACCTGGAAGCCTGACTTTAGAAGTATGCTTATTCAGGGTGAGCTTACCATGCAGAGTAGGTGCTTTAGTTCATGGAAATCAGAAATTTTAGAAATGAGAAGCTGCACTTTGTCTATTTTGCTTTTCAGTGAGTAGACAAAAGGCAGGTGAATTGTAAGTATACAGTGTCTATTTTCCTGACACAACATAACGTACCCGCTCATAAATCCTGGATACCTGTTTACCTTCTGTGCATCGCAAAACAAGTTTTTCAGTGGAGTTTGGGACAATGAAAAGAGGATAAAAGCACTAAGAAAGAACTCTTATTTTAAGAATCCCCTTTCAGTGAAGGTAACCAAAGAATGGTTGCAAGGAGCAGAATAAACACAAGTAAAGGAAAACTCAAGTTTGTGAAAGCAAGCATAATCCAGCAGGTTTAGAGTGCAGGTAGAAAGCTATTTTTTTTTACAAGCTCTGCTTTTGTTAAAGTGGCCTTAGATGTGATACTTCAGGTGCAGATTTTTTTCAAACTGTCATGAAATACTCACCTGCTGGCACCACAACTTGTGAAAAATCTGAATATAAGCAAGGACCATCAGGCATAATGGAGCAAAATATGTGACGATGAAGAAGCCAGTGTGGTAGACTTTTGGGTATATCTCAGCTGAAAAAAGGCAAAAATGATCAGTAAGAAAGATATTGTAACACAAAGTATCTTACCCTGCTAAATAAATACGCTAAAAACAATATTAAAGACATCTAGATAGCAGATATGGGTTTACTGTGGTGGAACAAAGCTATTAGATGACCCTCACTCTGTTTCTTTTTAATACATTTTTCATGATTCTATCATCCAATACAAAAAAAGAAACTACTTGTGTTCAGATAAATATCAAATGAGTTTACAAATCATGTTTTCTTGCTAAAATACAGTAATTAAACATAAAATAAATGAAGTTTGGACTTAATTTGGTATTTCTGAAAAAGAACTCTGGTTTTTGCTCCTCAGTTGAAAAAACATACAAAGGAAATACTATCCTTGTGTATCTTTTGTCGTTGATTGGTTTAAAAACCTTTTCTTTCCTTCGGGGCTTTTTTTTTTCTCTTACAGAAGCAGTTGGGCCTGATCATCCTAAAATTCATATTTTTTTCTTATGAACTCTACACATATCTGTAACAGCATAAACTATTTTGTAACAGTTGATTGTTATTTAATTTTACTGAAATATTTTGCCACATTTAGCTTCTGTTTCATGCAAAAAAAACGGAAGGACTAACCAAATGTTTTTACATGTTCACTGGTTATCTGTAAAGAAAGAAAAAACTAACCTCCCCAGTGTTCATCACACACTGTGAACAGGCTGGTCTTGTTTGTGAGCTCAGGCAGCAGACTGCTGCACTCCATCACAATGGCCTGAGGTATCATGATTATGCACGATACCACCCAGATGGCAATAATACTTTTGCGCGCCCTCTTGGCCGTGCTCTTAAACATGAGCGGGTGACAGATAGCATACCAACGGTCTTGAGCAATACAGCTTAGAGTCAAAACTGATACAGATACAGAGATGGTCTGTGGGAAAAAAAAGAATAAAGTTAGAAACTAAAACGTTTCATAATTTAAATATTGTACATTCTAATTATAAAGATGGTAAATTATATCTTTGCTGGAAATCATAATACTTTAACTTTCATTGGCACAACTGTAGACCCAAAAACTCCAAATAAGTAGTAGATCTGTAATGCATTTCTGATATAGTGATATCAGTTGGTTGTTTTGTCAATTCACAATCTTGCATGACTGTTAAAGATTTTCACTTTCCAGCTTTTTTAATTGTCATTACACTGTCACAAGTACAGAGCAACGAAAGAAACTCTTTGCATTTAACCCATCTACTTGGGGAACAGTGGGCTGCCATAGTGCAGCGCCAGGGGAGCAGTGTGGAGTTAAGGGTCTTTGCTCTGGGACCCAGAGTGGCAGTCTGAGGGAGTGGGGCTCGAACTCAGAACCTCATTCCAAGCCCTATGCCCAAACCACAAGGCCACCACTCGCCCTGATTCCCTTCACTTTCAATCCCTTTTATGTCACAGAACACAGCATGCTTCAGGGTTTAAAGCTCAATTTCACACAACTACTTAACACATTTATCTTACTGATACAAATTCATCATCAATTCAAAATGACAGAAATAAAGGATACTTTCTTGGAATTATTTCTAAATCTAATTTGGTTTTATATAAACCACACCAAAACATATTTGATTAAACTTGTGTTGAAATATTATGACTATACATTGAATTTCTGAATTAATCAGATAAAGTGATTTAATTGCCTCCTCTTTAACTATGTAGTGTAAGATTTATGTTTTGAAAGTCGGCCTCGGCAGATGGCCGCTCACACTGAGCCTGGTTCTGCTGGAGGTTTCTTCCTGTTAAAAGGGAGTTTTTCCTCTCCACTGTCGCTACAAGCATGCTTAGTGTGAGGGATTGTATTTGAGTCAATGAGTCAATGCAATCAACTGGTTTTCCTTAGATCGAAAACTTTGTATCAATTTGACTGTATGATCTGGTTGAACTGTAAAGTGCCTTGAGATGACATGTGTTGTGAATTTGGCGCTATATAAATAAACTGAATTGAAACTGAATTGAATTGAAAGCCTTTCTGTTCCGAATTGAAGTTTTTAAAATATTTAACAAAACCATGGGATGTTGGATAAACAAAATCTGAAAAAAATATGAAATTTGAAAAACTAGACTGAAAAATAAATATGCAAAGAATGCTTATAAAAGATAGCAGTAGGAGATAACAAGGAAGACTTATAAAAAAAAAAAAATGTTAATGATATAGATCATGACAACACAGGATAACTGTGAACCCAAACTGAAAACTTAAACAGAACCAAAACATCCAGTACAGCAGATCATAACACTTGTCATTTAAATCTAATTATGCACATTGTTAAAAAAATTCATATGCTTGAGGTTTTGCTAAATAGTTGGCCTGAGTTCACTTTACCAGGCTTGTCTTTCTGACAAGACCATTTTCCCCCCTTGTTTGTCTGATAGAAAACCATTGCTTCCACCACTATTTAAATTACCTGCTTTGGTGTATAATGCACTTAGGAGAATGCCAATCAGGAAAACTGGACACATCCAGGACTTGCTGTTGCTCTGGAACCAAATGAGCCTGAAAGTGCACTTCTCCAATTTGCTAGGAGCTCTAGGCAGCATGAATTCCAATGAGTCTGTACAAAACTGTACTAGCAGTTTCAAACACAATTCAAAAATGGATCACTGCATGTGGAAAATAAATGTTCAGCTCAGTTCTCTCAAAACAGACAGCATTACGATGAACGATGCATACCCAATCACCTTTGATGGCAATTTTTTTAAGTTTTAAATAAAATATATAATAACAACAATATTAAATACAAGAAAATAAAAAATATATATATTCTTTCCTGTAATACACCCCACATTTTTTTTCTGGATGATTATTTTATGTTAGTAAATTTTCTTTTCCAAAATCCTTTATATTAATCCCAGAAGACATTGTGACAGCATAAAAAATTAATTGTTGTACACATCTAAGTTTAATCTCATGTGGATGCAATGGCAAATGCAGGTCTGACATTACAGTAACAAAACTGAGATAATGTCTCCAAGGAAATTAACCATACATTTGGCTGGAAATCAAATCAGAATGTAAGAGTTTTAAGTCAGGAAACATCATATCATTGAAAAACAGAAATCTGTCAAAGGCAAGCAAACAATCATAATGTAATTATCCAAAATGGCTGCACAGTGAATAAAATGTGTTTACTCTATCATCTACCTTTGTCCAACAAGTAGTTTTGGCTTTGATAGAATAAAATCATGAAAAGGCATGTAATTACTTTGTATTGAAAATAAAGTCAGCTACAGTTGTGTGTTTTCTGATGCAGGCAGGACATATGTGAGGTGGAAAATGTTATAAAATATGTTATAACTAACTGGATGGAAATGTACAGAGAGTAACAGGTGGAAATGTTAAAAACTGAAATCAAACCAGATGTACAGGTGCTGGTCATAAAATTAGAATATCATGAAAAAGTAGATTGATTTCAGTAATTCCATTTAAAAAGTGAAACTTGTATATTATATTCATACATTACATACAAACTCATATATTTCAGATGTTTATTTTGTTTAATTTTGATGATTACAAATGACAACAAATGAAAATCTCAAATTCATCATATCAGAAAATTAGAATATTACTGAAGACCAATAAAAACAAAGGATTTATAGAAATGTTGGCCAACTGAAAAGTATGAACATGAAAACACAGCATGCTTCAGGGTTTAAAGCTCAATTTCACACAACTACTTAACACATTTATCTTACTGATACAAATTCATCATCAATTCAAAATGACAGAAATAAAGGATACTTTCTTGGAATTATTTCTAAATCTAATTTGGTTTTATATAAACCACACCAAAACATATTTGATTAAACTTGTGTTGAAATATTATGACTATACATTGAATTTCTGAATTAATCAGATAAAGTGATTTAATTGCCTCCTCTTTAACTATGTAGTGTAAGATTTATGTTTTGAAAGTCGGCCTCGGCAGATGGCCGCTCACACTGAGCCTGGTTCTGCTGGAGGTTTCTTCCTGTTAAAAGGGAGTTTTTCCTCTCCACTGTCGCTACAAGCATGCTTAGTGTGAGGGATTGTATTTGAGTCAATGAGTCAATGCAATCAACTGGTTTTCCTTAGATCGAAAACTTTGTATCAATTTGACTGTATGATCTGGTTGAACTGTAAAGTGCCTTGAGATGACATGTGTTGTGAATTTGGCGCTATATAAATAAACTGAATTGAAACTGAATTGAATTGAAAGCCTTTCTGTTCCGAATTGAAGTTTTTAAAATATTTAACAAAACCATGGGATGTTGGATAAACAAAATCTGAAAAAAATATGAAATTTGAAAAACTAGACTGAAAAATAAATATGCAAAGAATGCTTATAAAAGATAGCAGTAGGAGATAACAAGGAAGACTTATAAAAAAAAAAAAAATGTTAATGATATAGATCATGACAACACAGGATAACTGTGAACCCAAACTGAAAACTTAAACAGAACCAAAACATCCAGTACAGCAGATCATAACACTTGTCATTTAAATCTAATTATGCACATTGTTAAAAAAATTCATATGCTTGAGGTTTTGCTAAATAGTTGGCCTGAGTTCACTTTACCAGGCTTGTCTTTCTGACAAGACCATTTTCCCCCCTTGTTTGTCTGATAGAAAACCATTGCTTCCACCACTATTTAAATTACCTGCTTTGGTGTATAATGCACTTAGGAGAATGCCAATCAGGAAAACTGGACACATCCAGGACTTGCTGTTGCTCTGGAACCAAATGAGCCTGAAAGTGCACTTCTCCAATTTGCTAGGAGCTCTAGGCAGCATGAATTCCAATGAGTCTGTACAAAACTGTACTAGCAGTTTCAAACACAATTCAAAAATGGATCACTGCATGTGGAAAATAAATGTTCAGCTCAGTTCTCTCAAAACAGACAGCATTACGATGAACGATGCATACCCAATCACCTTTGATGGCAATTTTTTTAAGTTTTAAATAAAATATATAATAACAACAATATTAAATACAAGAAAATAAAAAATATATATATTCTTTCCTGTAATACACCCCACATTTTTTTTCTGGATGATTATTTTATGTTAGTAAATTTTCTTTTCCAAAATCCTTTATATTAATCCCAGAAGACATTGTGACAGCATAAAAAATTAATTGTTGTACACATCTAAGTTTAATCTCATGTGGATGCAATGGCAAATGCAGGTCTGACATTACAGTAACAAAACTGAGATAATGTCTCCAAGGAAATTAACCATACATTTGGCTGGAAATCAAATCAGAATGTAAGAGTTTTAAGTCAGGAAACATCATATCATTGAAAAACAGAAATCTGTCAAAGGCAAGCAAACAATCATAATGTAATTATCCAAAATGGCTGCACAGTGAATAAAATGTGTTTACTCTATCATCTACCTTTGTCCAACAAGTAGTTTTGGCTTTGATAGAATAAAATCATGAAAAGGCATGTAATTACTTTGTATTGAAAATAAAGTCAGCTACAGTTGTGTGTTTTCTGATGCAGGCAGGACATATGTGAGGTGGAAAATGTTATAAAATATGTTATAACTAACTGGATGGAAATGTACAGAGAGTAACAGGTGGAAATGTTAAAAACTGAAATCAAACCAGATGTACAGGTGCTGGTCATAAAATTAGAATATCATGAAAAAGTAGATTGATTTCAGTAATTCCATTTAAAAAGTGAAACTTGTATATTATATTCATACATTACATACAAACTCATATATTTCAGATGTTTATTTTGTTTAATTTTGATGATTACAAATGACAACAAATGAAAATCTCAAATTCATCATATCAGAAAATTAGAATATTACTGAAGACCAATAAAAACAAAGGATTTATAGAAATGTTGGCCAACTGAAAAGTATGAACATGAAAAGTATGAGCATGTACA